TTAATTGCACTGTGCATCAAGCGTGCATGCACAGCACGCACATGAGCGAACCGGCAGTAGTGCCTGCCGGAACCACCCCTGGATAGACGCAGTTGCACCAGGATTATCTGTCAGAAAACTGCTTCTTTTCTTCTTCTCTTCTAAACCTATTCTTGTATCATCAAATAGTATCTCATGATATCTAGCCACTGTTTCTTTTATTGGCCCCCTTTTTCCCAAAGATCACAATCAATGGCAGTTGCTTATCATTACTTGAGTATTTTAGTTTAAGATATGTTATTAATACTTCCAGCGAGCAGTTTGGCTTTACTTTATCCATTATTATTAATATACTGACGTTACACACAAACTGGCAAATGACTCTGCTCAGTGATTTCATGTAGACATTGAATAGGAGGGAAGAGAGCTGAGAGTGAGAAATATCATTTTTGTTTGCTTATTTGTATTTTGACATTTTTAAAGATACCAAAAAAGATCAATCCAGAATTCTTAAAACACTATAGTCCTAATAAAAAGAACAAAATGTAAGCAGATCTGTTTGAGAAATAATTCTGCTGCAATTAAATTAACTAAGTTCTGCAAACATTACTGGAAAGCATTTAATCTTATCAAATATTTCAGAAGATGAAGTGGAATATTCCTTGTTTAAACAGTCTGGAAATTACACAGCCTTTTAGAAGGAAATTGGCCTTCTAGTCTAGAAAAATTCAAAAAATACATATGTTCAAAAAAGCAAGTTATAGCAAAGTATACTGTTGTTTTAAGGTGTCACTGAAATGTTTATAGTGAACTTATTTTGTTTAGATGGAGCTAACAGTTATATTTTACAAGTATGTGTGTATATTTAAAATGGAATGAACAGAATCAGCAGAATAATTTGTATTTTTATTTGGACTCTTAAGTAAGCTTCCAGTAGGATTCTTCAAGCCACTACTTACATATATAACTTTGTAACACTGGGGAAAAAGTGTTCCAGTTTCTGCATTGTGTTAATTATTTAGCATTCTTAGAAGCTATAGAAGTAATTCAGAAAACATTTTGTGCATGTTTCTGCCTGCATTTGTTCATTTTTAATTTTGAATAGTGCAGTTTTATATAGATAGTATTATAAAGTTGGAAAATATTTGCAGAAGATTAAGTTTTACTAAACTTTAGATGCATTATAGACTACATAGTCCAAAATCAAACTAAAGGACTAGAAGTCTAAATACATTAAAATACATATGGGTTTATATTTGTTTTCTAATGGACATAAGAACTTTCATTACGACTGGTTAGGATCATTGTTCTAATATGAATAAGAAGAAACAGTATATCAGTAAGTTTACTGAGCTCTTCATGAACTTACCAACATTTCTCTCTTCATGAACTTGCCAACATTTCTTGTTATTAAGCTGTTGTAGAAAAAATATGTGTGATATTTTTACCTCATATGGCCTACATCATTGCTGACAAAACTTGGTTCTTTGTGGCACCAAACGGAATTTGTAGAGTTTTGTAACTAGATCACTGCATTAACATGAATGAATTCATTGTCTGTAATTATCTGTAATTCATGCTATGGATTTTTTGCACCACTATTGAGACTTTTTATATTATTCAGAGTGGTACAAAAAGAGGTACCACCTCACCAGCCTCTCAACTTCTTGTTTCCTTTGATTCTTAATATTGCATCATTGTTTCCTTTGATTCTTAATATTGCATCATTTTTCCTATGACAGTCCACTGATGTTTGTGAGCAGATCCTAAGAGTTGTGAGCAGATCCTATAGATTGGAAGAGCTAGTACTAGAAAATGCTGGTCTTAGGACGTAAGTCATTATTTTTAATTAACCAACACTAACATTTTTAATAAAGCCCAATAACATCAGAGGAAGCTGCAAGTCTAAAGCAGCAGTGTTGTATTATATTTATTGGAGGTTAACAACATTAAACTGACTTGGCATATTTACCTATTGCATATTTGTACTGTGGAGAGCTTTGTTATAAATGCAAACTATCTGAGGTTTATTTTTCACAAGTCTTGTATGCAAATGTAACATTAGCATTACTACTAGTTACAGTTTCCTGGGTTACCCTTTTGGTTTATTCATACTAGAAATGTATATAGGATTTGCTTTTAAAAAAATAAATCTCTAATGGAATGGCTCACCCTTATGGGCTTGGTAGGGAGGAGTCAGTATGTAAATTCATAAAGAAGAATATTTGTAGCTCAGAATTGAAATGAGAGGGTCCTTGGTGCTTAGTTTGGGTAATGAAATCTGCAAGAAAACAACAAAGCTCAGAGAGCACCAAGGGACCCCTACAGTGGTGGGTTCCGGATTCCGTTCCAACTGGTACGGTTGGAATGGCCCCGATGTCACCCACATGCTCGCACATGGCGCACACATGCATCGTAGGTACTTGCAACGCTTCTTCAAACCTCCGCAATGCTCCAGTTGCTCAACGGAGCATCGTGCAGGGGCCATATGCGCCATGCACATGCGCGGAAGTGCCAAATGCTTAAAGCACAGATAAGGAGCGAGGGCGAGCAGGTGGGCCCTCCAGAGCACCGGAATGGAACGGTATCCAGTGCTCCAGGCAGGCTCCGATACGCCTGTATTGGGGCGTACCGCCTGCAACCCACCACTGGACCCCTCCCCACATATAGTTTTAACTTAAAGCAATTAATATATGAAATCAAGATTATATCATAATTATTAAATGTCTTTGCAACATAGCTTAAAAACATACAACATTCATATAAGTGCATATGTCTGTAAATGAGTTTAGCAATCTTAATAAAAATTAATGGACAAATGCAATCTAAGACAAGTGAGCTATTCCTTTGGAGAATCCATCTGATGTTGAGCAACTTTGCTGATATGTATGAATATATTTTTATTTGCCACTAGGCAGCATAGAGAAAATAAAAATATCATGCCTGCAACTGGCTGCAAGTCTTCAAAGCAGCTGCATCTTGTTCTGGAATCACATGAAATACTGGGTGTGAATTATTTCCAAACTGCTGTATAATTCTAATGTTTATTACTTCATCAAAAATGGTAGAAAGCAGGATATTAAAACATGGCATCTTTCCTGCCCAATGTACACTTGCTTCTCTGTATACCTAGTGTAGCATGCCACATATAAATAAATTGTTGCAACTAACACAATATATGTGACAACCCATGTACTTGAGTGTAATATTCTAAATAGGCTCCTTAATTCAGTGTAACCTATAATCAGTTCATATTAAACTTATGAAAATGGTATAACGATGCAATGCAAAATAAAGTACAATTTTTTGTGTTTTTCTTTGTTTCTTAGAGATTTTGCACAGAAGCTGGCCAATGCTCTATCCCACAATCCCACCTCAGGACTTCATACAATTAATCTCGCTAACAACCCTCTAGAGGACAGAGGTACTATAACACTTTCCTGCTCATAATACAAGCCCAATAAGAGGATTGGTATATTTCTTTCAGTTTTTCTTGAAATCAAACAATATTATGGATTCTATTATTGCATTGTAAACACCTACAATTGTTAGTGAAGAACTTTTTCCTCTTTCATATATCTATAATTGCTTATATTAGTTGTTGACAGATGATGCTTAATAACTAGATGGGACATGAATATCTATGCGAATAGAAGGAGTGTATCACAATATACACAAAATGGGTGTTGTGATACAGTCTCCAATCCTTACATAATTGTTTTATATACAGTTTTTATATTTTTATATTTTACTTGTACACCACCCAGAATCCCACTATGAGGGCGATGAGGAGTTTCTAAACTTGATAGTTAAAACAAAACTAAATAAAGTAAAAAGTGATTACTCTGCAAATACATTTTCACTATTGATATGGACCTCATTTTTATTCTTTTACAGGAGTATCTTCATTAAGTATTCAGTTTGCCAAACTACCAAAGGGGCTGATGCATTTAAATTTATCTAAAACCTCATTATCACCTAAAGGTATATAACAATTGTCTTAATTATAATGAAATATATTTCTTTTTAAGCTCTATTACCTGAATATTTATTCGTTTCATAGTTTTCCACTGGTAAGATAAATAATAAGCTTGAACTGAATTAGCTGCAACACATTTTCACTTCTTCTACTTGATATGCTTGAATGCTGAGCGTGTTGTATAATCTTGATATCAATGTCACAATTTGCTTCTTCCATAGCAGTAATAACTTGACTGGATTCATGGTGACCAATGTTCCCTCTAATTTTTTTTCAGTGTGTGCGTAACTCACTCTCTCTCTCTCTCTCTATCTCTATCTCTATCTCTCTATCTCCCAACTTAGAAGCAACATTGATAGTGACTCCAGCACATAGCTCACTCCTTGCCATTTCCAACACCTGAACTCACTACATACATCAGGACACTGCACACTAAATTTATCATCATATTAACACCACCAGATCCTCCAATCTCTGGCCGGCCATTGTTATTAAGCTGTGGCCTGGATTTCAGTTGTGCTAACTAACATTATCTCACTATGTATTTTCTATGTGAAAAATCAGCTAATTTATTTTTTCAAGCACTTGAGAATAAGAGGACACATTTGTTAGGATCTTTTAAGCCACGCAGGTAGCCAAGAAGTAAATAAGCACTGTTATTTACATACAGGTGACTTAGCTCACAAATGGGGTCCATCTGTTGCTCTATTCAGAATTCCCCAGACAGGAGGAATACCTTTTAAGTTTTTAATTCCCTCCATCTGAATGCTGTATCATCTTAGCAACATTTTTGAGAAGAGTAACTACACCATTGTCACAACTGTTTGTCTTTGATTAATTTCAGGGTAGCAGAATTATCTTTGCTGTAGTCCTAGCTCTCGGTGACTTCAGCTTGTCCAGAATGCAGCCGCGCGAGCGATCGTGG